GCGCCTGGAGCTGGCGCCGCTCCTGTGCCGTGTGCCCAGGGGTGGGGACGCCTATACGCCGCACGTCCAGGGCCAGCACAGCCCATGCACCGCGCACCTGGGGGCGGGACCGCCCATGTCCTGCGCGCCCGGGGCTGGCGCCACCTCTGTGCTGTGTGCCTGGGGGCGGGGCTGGCCCCAATCACTCGGCGGGCTCACAGAAGCCTGGAGCTGGCGCCGCTCCTGTGCCGTGTGCCCAGGGGTGGGGACGCCTATACGCCGCACGTCCAGGGCCAGCACAGCCCATGCACCGCGCACCTGGGGGCGGGACCGCCCATGTCCTGCGCGCCCGGGGCTGGCGCCACCTCTGTGCTGTGTGCCTGGGGGCGGGGCTGGCCCCAATCACTCGGCGGGCTCACAGAAATGGCCCGGCGGGCGCCATGGCACCCGCGGGCACCGCGTTGGGGACCATTGGCCTTGAGGATGTTTTTGAACACACCATCCCAACCACTATTGATGTAGAAGGTCTCTACACCAGCATTCCACATGAAGATGGACTACAAGGTGTCAGGAACTGTATCCTCGATGATGGCACAGCACACCTAGTGGCTGAGCTCTGTGAATCGGTCCTCACCCACAACCATTTCAGATTTGGAGAAGAAATGTAAAAAATTGTGTAAAAATTTAATTGTAACAGTTAAAAATCCTAGCGGTTACATAGTTACATGTGCTGTGGGTACTGCAGTATATCTTTTATACTGCAGATCCCATACTTCAGGGTGACAGCCAGCTCCCGGGTGGCTGGTGTGTAACTAACAGAAATCGATAAGTTGATGCTTATTGATTAACCGTTTAAACAATTACAGGTATATTCCTAATATGGGGGCAATTTATGCCTTCAAGTCAGCAGCACTGCTATGGGTACCCACATGGCCTCGTAGTACGCCAACATTTTTATGGCTGACTTAGAGAACAAAAACTGGGGAAGTATTATTCTATCACTGCTCCTCAACTTGCACTATACTGATGACATCTTTATCATATGGACCCACGGGAAGGACGCCTTTGAAGAATTCCAGCATTTCAACAATTTCCACCTCATCATCAACTTTAGCCTTGAGTAGACCATTCCACACAAGAGATACATTTTTTGGAAACTACAGTGCAAATAAGTGATGGGCACACAGACAACACCCTCTACTGGAAACTTATTGATCACTATACTTACATACATGTCTCCAGCTTTCATACAGGAAACATCACACAATCCATTGTCTATAGGCAAGCCCTAAGATACAACTGCATTTGCTCCAATCCATAAGAGAGGGGGACAAACACCTATAAGATATTTATCAAGCATTTTTAAACTACAATACTCACCTGTGCAGGTGAGGAAATAGATTGATAGAGACAGATAGGTATCACCTACTACAGGACAGACCCAACAAGGTAAATTATGAAACATCAATGGCCATCACCTACAGCCCTCAGCTAAAACATCTCCAGCACACAATCAACGATCTACAACCTATCCTGGAAAATGAACCCTCATTCTCACAGACCTTGGAAGACAGGTCAGTCCTCGCTTAGAGACAACCCCCCAACCTGAAGCAAATACTCACCAGCAACTATACACCACACCAAAGAAACACCAATCCAGGCACCAATCCATGAAACAAATCTCACTGCCAACTCTGCCTTCATATCTATTTAAGTGACACCATCATAGGACCTAATCACATAAGCCACAACATCAGGGGCTCATTCACTTGCACATCTGGTATTGCTACTTCAAAAAGAGACTTCTCTTCAAAAAGAGATTTCAAAGAGAAACTGCAGAGCTGCAATTCATTTGCAAACTTGACATTATTAATCTGGGTCTGAATAGGGACTGGGTCTGAACAGGGACTTGCTGGCTTACTGCACAAGCAATTTTCCCTCTCTTGGTATTCACACTTCCTCCTCAACTGTTGATCAGTTAGTACTGATCCTTCACTTGATTAAGAAACTCCCTTCTTTTCATGTGCTAGTATATTTATGCCTGCCTCTGTAATTTCCACTCCAATGCATCTTACAAAGTGCCCAAATAAATCTGTTAGTCTTTAAGGTGCCAAAGGACTCCTTGTTGTTTTTGCAGATACAGACTAAGATGGCTACCTCTCTGATATAAATCAACCGTACTTCAATCAGTTAAGCAACCACAAGTGATCGCTCCAAATCAAGCTTCACATAAGCAAGTTGGAAAATGGGCAGCTCACCACTTTCAGAAACAATGCTCCAAAACTACAGATTCATAAGTTATTTGATGTCAGAGAGGAATGTAGTTATTACTGTCACATAAGTGTTTTCCTTTGTGTGCTCTTGACAGATATAAATAGGAATGTGAAGCTATTCATAATAGCTCCTAAAGCATTGATCAATCAGCTGTTTCAGTATTTGATTTAGCCACAGAGAAGAAACAGACAGAATGCAAGACAATCACGAAGAATTTATCCAAGGCATTTTAGATGTGTGCAGAGACCAATATGACTTATGTTTGGATGAAGGTTAATTTGCATTATTCTCCAATTTTGTCATAGTTGCTATAGTATTCTTAACCATTTGGTTTTTTGTAAGCATATGTTCTGAAATTACTCTCATAAAATGACACCTGGCAGTAGAGTGTACACAAGATGCTTCCCTTTATCTTGGAATTAAATGCATTTCCTCATGTCATGCAGAACTACATTAACTATATCAGAACTAAGAAACTTAAGAGAGTTAATGGATTCTGCTGGACACAAGGCAAGTTCTTAAAATATAAAGTGAATAATAAAAACTGCTTTTAGTTATGAGAAATCATTTACTTCTGGTATTTGCCACTCCCTGCAATACCTTCACCCTGTCTCAATGTTTGATAAACTTTACTAATATATTTAACTATCTTCTAGATTAGGTTAATAATGGTACAATGACTACCAATAATTGATCTGCAAAAGTAGAACAATGCCCAAGGCATATAGGTAGCTGTATATCAGCCCCTATCTATCTTAATATGGCAATTCTCATCAGCATCACATCTCATTTGCAAATACAGGCTGAGTGCAATCTCACCGCTTGCAATTTATATACCACAGGAAATCATATGTTAAAAGGTGAGTAATTCAAGAAATGATGGTACGCACAGACAAGTTCAGCTCTCTCTGCCAACAACCATATGTAGGTTTTCATTTTCTAATGGAATGCAATTATTTTCACTTTAAACTTCATGTTTCTAATGAAAAATACTCAGCAGTTCTAACAGATACATTTAACTGTTTAGATGTATTATTAGGGATATTTAAAAAAAAGCAACAAAAAAGTGATTTTTCAAATGTACAATTTATAATAATCCAAACCTATTGATCTGGTTGATCTAGCACAGTATCTTGCCTTCTGCAAGGTGATCTGCATCAGATGCTTCAAAAGGAATGAACAGAATGGGCAATGTATCTAGTGTTCCATCATTTGTTCTCCAATTCCAGTATCTGGAAGTCAGAGTCGACAGTACTGGTTTGTTTGCTGCCCTTCCCTAACCCAGGGCCTGGGCTACTCTAACTAATTGTCTGTTTGCTGCCTCTCCCTGTTCCTTGGCCATGGCCTTCTAGAGTCAGTACTGTTGGCTGAGCCTGATACAGGCCTAAGACCCAGGACTACAGGACTCAATGGACCTAGGTGGAGTGGCTGCCCACTGACCCGGAGGGGGAAGAGCCCCTCTGTGAGCCCTGATAGGCTACAAAGAATATATTCCAGGACAAATGGTTCATTGATTATATTAAAGAATGTTTGAACACTCACCCTAGAGCTTGGAAGGAAGGAATGGAGCGTGCCCAGTGCATGGACAAAAAGAGCAGTCTAGAGGCTGATTCACAGATGTAATGAACATTCAGGTATTCAGGCATAGGAGAAGGCATGGTGAGCTGGTGCAAAAAGGAATTGTACAATTAGTTATCTTATTTCTTGTTAAAATATTACAAAAATAGTCTTTGATGTAAGTTGTCTGATATGTCTTGCAAGGAAAAAAGTAATGTATTTTTAAAATAACATGAATGAGATACAGCCTTGAAATACAGGAGATACAGGAGCAAAGCCACCCAGGCGGCGGGAGTCCCGCTGCCTGGGCGGCTTTGCTCCGGGGCAAATGAGCAAAGCCGCCCAGGCGGCGGCTTTGCTTGGGTGTCCCTGGTCTGCTGGGGGGGTCCAGCGGCTTTGCTGGACCCCCCCAGCAGACCAGGGAGACCGAGAGAAGCTTTTCTCGCCCTGGAGGACACGGGTGGCGACCCGCCGCCCGTGAGCTCCGGGGCGAGAAAAGCCCTGTTCGTAAGTGCGGATCTGACATAAGTTGGAGCCGCGTAAGTCAGGGACTGCCTGTAGTAAGCTGTGCTGCAAAAGCACTTAGGAGGGATGTTTATTTTCCTGAACAAAAAGTAGCTAACCATTGAACAAAAGCAGTGTATTCTTAAGAACAAGAATTACAGTATTTCAATACACATGATTATTCTTTATGAAATTCAAACAAATGCATACCAAATTCATGAACTTTTAAAATGGCTAAGAAATTAGTTTTAACTGTTATAAGTTAAAAACATATAAAATACCCTGAAAGCTACGTGTGCGTCGCTGAGAAGTGGCCCCTCTATTTCAACAATATTCATGCTTGTTTCTCCACCAATCAGATGTACATTAGCTTCAATACTCTCTGCAGAACTCTGACAAGCTGCACTCTCTCCTGGGTTTAGTGCTTTCGCAAGTGTATCAAATGCCCTATGAAAAAACATTACCACCTATGAGTTAAGTCAAATTATACAGTAAAAGCAAGGAAAATGTAAAATCATTATTTAGTGTAGGCTTCAGTCTAGACAGTGTTTGTATAGGCTTGTATTTCCAAATATATTACATTTTGCTCCCTTCTGATAATTTGAAAATCACTATAGCACTGCTCTGTCCCTACACCTTACTTAGTCTACTACAAGCCTCATTTTAAAAACAAATATTGGGGGAGGAGGTTGAAAGAGAAAATGAGAGAGAAGGTTGTGTGCACAGAATCCATGAGAACTCTCCATCTTCAAGGCAGAAGTAAGCTTTGCCTCCTCCTACAACATCAAAGGAGCAGATCCCTGGGGTTTCCTCCTGGCAGTCTGGGGGTGGCGGCAGAAACAGCAGCCCAGTGGCTGTCACCTTGGGAGCCTTTTCCGGGCTCTCTGCACTAACACAGTGCTCACTCTCTACCCAAAATACTTAAGTAAGAGAGCAGCTATCAGAAAACGGAACATTAAGGCAAAGAGAGAGCCCTATCAAAGCATTTATCTACATGGAGAAGCTAAATACAGTGAAACCTTTGTTATCCAGCACTCTGTTAGCCAGAAAACGTTGATAACTGACACTGATCCAGCACTCTGTTAGCCAGAAAACTTTGATAACTGACACTGTCCCCCAGCCACAATGCTGTCACATCTTCAGGCGCACAAGCCTGGCTGGACTGGTTTACCAAGATTGGCTTAACAATTTTTTATTTAAGAAGTAATCATCTTTAACTCAAAATAAAAATGTGACACCAAAATAGAAATGTGCCTCACACTACAAAACTTCCAATATTAAAAACTTGAGTTTTACTATTATTGTCCACTGGTTTTTCTTAGGTTGATGGGACCCTCAGATAACAGGAATCTTTACATAATTGGAACGCCCTAATCCCCAAGTGTGCCGGATAACACAGGTTTTACTGTAATGCTATTGCTGCCAAAGATGGTGTCATGGAGAGCAGGCCAAAACAGTCTAGAGGGCTCTCTGATCTACCTCAACCCACTTGGCCATTTAGGTTTGGGCTGCGTAGCCCCCTTCAGGAACTAAGGACAGGAAGCAAAGTGGTGAAACATGCACCTATCATCCCTTCCTTAGATAAGAAATAAGGAAATAAGGTTTCAATACTCATGCATTAAATATTTGACTCCAAGGAAATCCTTTTCCCTTCTACACCACAATTCCCTCTGCAAAGCAAGCCAAGTTTTACAAGCCCTGCTCCCTAATGGCATGTCTACACTACATTACACTACCTTTAACACCTGTGGCTGCCTGTGCCAGCTGACTCACATCTCAATACTGAGACTGTGGGGCTGTTTCATCGAGGGTATTCCAGCTCAAGCTCAAAGACGCTCCTACTTCACAGGGTCCTAGAGGCCAGGCTGTAGTTTAAGTCTGGATATCTACACTGCAGTTAAACAGCCCCACACCCTAAGTTCACTGGCATAGGTCAATTGTGGGTGTCTAATCGCTGTGTAAACACACCCAAGGGGCTCAGCCCTGTAGCCCTTGCTGATACAGGAAGTACCATTACCTTTAACATTTACAAGTATGAGTAAAAGCTGCAAGATAAAGTTCTAAAGAAAGGAAGGTCTAGAATAAAGTGGACAAAAAAGGAAATCATAACTCATGAAATGAGACAAGCCGTGTTGAGTAGTTTATGCATACTATGGATTTCCTTTATTCTGAGTAATTCCAGTTCCTTTCCATTTCCCTCAGTCACGAATGGGTATATAGATTTTATCCAGCAGTAGGGAAGAATGATTATGGACAATTAGGCTATCATCTAGCTAAGGAACAAAAGGGATGTATTAAATTGCAGCATGAAGGGAATTTAAAGTATGGTTTAAATTTATTCTAGGAGAGTTTTATTTTGGATCTTTGATAACCACCATCCAGCAGAAAATACATGAAAAAAATGACTAGAAAATCAGTTTGCTTTGTTGATAGGCTCTTAAATTTCTCCAGCGATGGAGATTCCACATCTTCCCAAGGCGATTTATTCCAATGTTTAACCATCCTGACAGGAAGTTTTTCCTAAATGCTTCTTGTCCTATCATGTGAGGCCAAGGAGAACAATTTTTCTCCCTCCTCCTTGTAATACTTTTTTAGACTGAGAGGGGACATGATAGCAGTTTTTGAGTATCTAGGAAATTTAAGAGCAGGTTAGATAGACATCTGTTAGGGAAGTGTTTGGTCCTGCTGAGGGCAGGGGACTGGACTCGATGACCTCTCAAGGTCCCTTCCAGTTCCAGGATTCTATGATTATGCATAGCTTTTGAACCAGGTCACTGATTTTCATACATCTTTTGAGAGGCAAGGAAGCTATTGCCACTCTTGGGTTAAGTTGTGCCCCTATAAACTCTATGGGCTGTACCGGTGTGAGCAATGACTTGGTTTCATTTATTAGTAGCCCCAACAAGTGGAAGAAAGTCATGACAGTATGGATATCATGATGGGACTGTGCCTCTGATTTGGATTTGATCAGGCAGTCATCAAGATAGGGAAAAATGATGTCGAGTTTCCTTAGGTAGGCAGTGACTACTGCAAGAATCTTGGAGAAGACCCTCAATGCCATTGATAGTCCAAATGGCAGGACAGTATATTGGTAGCAGTGAATACCTAGGACAAAGCAGAGAAAGTTCCTAGGGGCAGGATGAACGTAGATATGAAAACAGGCATCCTGTAAATTGAGACATGAAAACCAGTTGCCCAGCTCCAGCACAGGAATTATGGTGATCAATGTTACCATCTTGAACTTTTGCCATTTTAGAAATTTGTTGAAGATTCTAAGGTCTAAAATGGGGCACCATCCACTGTTCTTCTTCTGAGTGAGGAAGTAATGTGAGTAGAAGCCACTCTCAGACCCCTTAAAAACCCTTCTATAGTGCCCATTGTAATCCTGTTGTAGGATTACATTGTGAGAGTGGTCCCTGAAGAGGGATGAGGCAGGTGCGTGAGTGGGGGAATGGAAATAAAATCTGTACAGATTGATTGTATCACCCGCTATTCAGATGTTTTGTCCTGCCAAGTGGTGTAAAAGGGCAGAAGTCAATGATGGAATATTTTGTCAGAAAGTAGCAACTCTGGAGCAGGGGAGGATGTTTTCAGTCCCTTGACCAAGGCCTCAAATTTGCTTGTTTTGTTTAGGTGGCTGGTTTGCAGCACTGGTTTAGTTAAGTCTGCACTACTGCCTGCCCTGACCACGTTGTTGAGTCTGGTGATCTTGTCTCTGTTGGTGATAAGTGTATGAAGGATATCTGGGTCTTGGGTTGGTACCTATACTGTCTCATTCTGGTTGCAGGCACGTGAATACCCAGGGAGCGCAGAGTCGCCCTTGAGTCCTTTATGGAATGGAGAATGTTGGTTTTTGTCAAGAAGAGCTTCTTGCCCTCGAATGGGAGATCCTCCGCTGTGGACTGTATTTCCCTTGGAAACGCTGCAGAGTTAAACCAAGAGGCTCTCCTCATAACTACCGTAGTGGTTGTTGACCTAGTGGCCATATCAGCAGTGTCGAGGGCGGCTTGTAAAACTGTATGAGAAATCGCATGCTTTTCTGCAATTACTGTCTTAAATTGTTTGCCTCGAGTATGTCATCAATAACTGTATTAAACTTTGAATAATTATTGAAGTCATATTTACTGAGCAATGCGGTGTAATTAACAGCTCTAAACTGTAGGGTCAATGATGTATAGACCTTTCTACCGAAGAGATCTAGCTGCTGGCTGTTCTCGTCAGCAGGGGTGGATCATAGTTGGTGCTGTTTATTTCTTTGGTGCATGGTTTCGACTACCAAAGACTTAGGTGGTGGGTAGGTGAACAGAAATTCAGAACCCTATGGGGGAACATAATATTTCCTATCTGCCCTTTTGCAGGTGAGCCGTATGGTTGCAGGGGTCTGCCAAATTGTTTTCACAGGGTCTGTGATCGCAGGATTTATGGGCAGAGCAACCTTTGTGGTAGGGGTGGCCTGTAATATGTTCGTAAGCTCATGCTGGGTCTCGGAGACTTCCTCTATGGCAAAATTCAAATCCACCACCACCCTTTTAAAAAGGTCCTGAAAGGACGTGAAGTCATTGGCTGATGTCAGAGGTGGTGGCATTACCACTTCATCATTACCACTTCAGGATGATGAGTTAGTGTCAGGAGTAGTATCTGGTCCTGAATCATGCATTTGCTGATCTGGTGTATCCTTCAGTAGCTTCTGAGGAAATGGAGACTGAGGGGGAGGGGAAGCCACAGGTTGGTTGTTTGTCTTTTTGGTATGCTTTCTCCTATAATTATATGCCCATTGGCTCCAGTAGTGCCACTGAACGCCGTATGACATGGGTGGTGGCATCCATGGGTGTGGTCCCCAGGGGGATTTGCAGCCCCCATTGAATGCCTAAAAATGGGATGGGAGGACAGTACTGAGACTTCAGTGCTGGGTGACAGTTGAGGTGAAAACGATACTTCGCTCCATCATCTCTGTCACTAGACAGAAGTGTGGGAGAAGAGATGTGCATTGGTGCCGCTGTGGTCAGCAATGCATCGTGCTGAGGAATGAGGAATTAAAGATAGAAGAGATGGTGAGATCCTTGGGATGGAGGTACCTTAGTGCCAGTGTAGATGGTGCCATTAAATGACAGTGCTGTAAGCAGTGCTGATGTTGACTGCGGGCCTGTTGGCACCGATGACTGTTGCAGTAACTATATGATTGTGGCACCAGCAGCTGCAATGACGGTACTGGAGTCTGATGCCAGTGCAGGTTGCAGTGCTGAGTGAATTCAGTCTTGGGGCTGATGATTCTGCCTTCGGTTTCTCTGGTGCTGCCATGGTCACTGAGCTTGTTAAGGCAGGTACATTCAGGCCTGTAGTCTCGGTGCGGGATTTTCTCAAGCTCTGTTTAGCGGTACCATGCTGGATGCCAGGCACATCATACGTGCTGAGGTGTGGCCTCAACTCTGGGTGCCAATTTCTCGGTCATGTGCCGCTTGAAGGACTGTAATTTATGAGGTAGAGAGGAGGCACATTTCTTACAGGATTTTTTCCCCTTCTCAGGTTTCTGCTTATTGGGCCATTAAGTTCTTGGATTGGAAGCTGAGTGCTGTGCTTTTTTCAAGGATAAGCATCTTCAAGGATAAGTCTCTAACCCTGTGTGTACGCACCTTAAGCTTGGCACAGTGGTGGCAGTCCTGCTGTATGTGACCCTTGCCTAGGTATATGATACATCTCGAGTGTCCACTGGAGACAGGCATTGTGTCATTACAAGTGGAGCAGAATTTAAATCCTGGTAACCCAGGCATTGCTATCCAACAGGGGACACCAAAGCAACTGGGAAAAACAACTTGGATAACAGGTTTTTTCCGTGTAGGTTTTTTTTGGTAGGGTTTTGTTGTGGTTGTTTTTAAAGGAGGCAAACTTTGATAAAATGAACGAAGGGAAAAGCAACAAGAAATGAGTGAAATGAACTACTTAACTACAGCAAAACAACACTGTCCGTCTTAAGCCAGGGATGGTAAGAAGGAACTGAGGGGAGAGTAGCCGCACATGTGTGGTTGCACAGCACGGCGTTCACGCATCCTGCTCACTGCACATGTGCGGCCACTCTAGGCACTGCTGAGAAGTTGGATAAAGAGAAGCTGGATAAATTCATGGAAGTTAGGTTCATAAAAGGCTATTAGCCAGGGGATAAAATGGTGTCCTTGGCCTTGTTTGTCAGAGGCTGGAGAGGGATGGCAGGAGACAAATCGCTTGATCATTGTCTTCGGTCCACCCTCTCTGGGGCACCTGGTGCTGGCCACTGTCGGTAGACAGGATACTGGGCTAGATGGACCTTTGGTCTGACCCAGTACGGCCGTTCTTATGTATGTTCTAATGAGAAGAATCCGGTTTGCAGCACTGGGCCACACTGACACCTGCTGTGGAGCACCCACAGGGACGTCTCTCGAAGAAGAAAGAATGATTATGCAAGGTTAAAGCTCCCGCATTTTGCTTATTAAATATATGCTATACATTTGTCAATTTAAAAAAAATACACACAGGAAATTAAAAGGTGCAGTTAG